AAACAATAAAAATTCACTGATTTCTTTAATTCAAATAACCTACCTTGTTAATAATCACTGGTGATGGAGGAGGAAACCAATGAACATCAACATAGAAAGTATGAAGTTGTTTGAAACGACCATCGAGTAGATAAAGACAGTCAGTAAAATCTTCAACATTAATATGTAATTCCATTAAACTTGAAGAAAAAAATGTTGGAGGTTCACTTAAACTGAATGATAATCGTTCCTCTCTGACAACATAAATATCGGCATATGGATGAAATTTTAAACATATTAAATTGTTGAACATAGTCAAGATATGAGTACAGACTATATTCATTATATCTGATGTTGATACTATTATGTTATTTTCAGGAAGTGTAATGTTCAGTGTTGTAATTTGATTTTTGAAGATGCGATTTAAATGACTCTCTTGTAAACATAAAAGAATATCGTAGACCTTTCTTTTTAAACCTAAGTTCGAAAATTCGGTACTTTCGATGTAGGTCCTGATGTTACCTTTATATTATTGGATTTTTTGATATTTATTTCACTCTTATTTATAATTAAACTCAAAAATGGTTTCAGATAAACAATGTGCAATGACCTATTCAAATCTATTAAGAATACTATGTGATTCGTTTTCATATATGTTCCATAGTTTGACAATTAAATCAATCGAAATGAAACTATGCTTACCACCAAACAAACGTACAGCTAGTTCACGTTCAATATTGAAAAGAGAGAGTTCATGTAAATTTGGATAATCAACAGCAAGAACACGTTCCATAGATAATGGTTCAAGATCGAGCCACTTGATTTTATGATGAATTGTAGGCAATATTTCTGAATAAAGGCGATCAAATATTTGATCATCCAGTAATTTGATAATACCATTCAAAGAACGTTTTAATAATGTTAAATGATCAGTAAAGATAGGATCGCTCACGATTTTATCAAGCCGTATATTAACGCCTATTAGAGAATAAAGTACTTCAATATTTGACAATTTATTTAAGATTAACAGAAGTATTTCATCAGATATATCTGTCAGTTGAATGCATAGATGTTTCATGTCCATCAACATTTGTCAATTCTTTCTTAACGATTGTTTATATACTTTTTTGCTCTATATTACCCGTTGCCGTCAGCAAGAAAAAGAAGCTATCTATTTCTATATAGTCTAAATCAACAATGAATGACCTGACTGAACGAATAAGTGACATTTTTTTTCTCATTCATTTAGTCGACCATTCTTATGATAATCGACACTTATCGTTTCTCTATGCATACAAGGGCATTTATGATGACCTAGTTTAAGCATTGATCGTGTATGACGGATAGAGATGAAGACATAAAGTGAAAAGTATTTTTTCAGATATCAACTGACTATTGAGAGATACAATACAATATTATTGTTGTCTGCCTATCAACTCTTTTGTTTTTATTCAACGTCATGCATGTTCACTTGTAATGTTAGAAAAATTAAAATAACTTTTTTTTCTCTCAAATAAAGTAATCTCATAAAAAAAAAGTGTCATAACTCAAAATAGCATTTTTTCGTGGAAATATTTTATCTTGTTTCCTGAACGGTTTAATAAAGATCGGAATTTAAAATAAAATTAGTCTTGAAGTTCTATAAGAAATAATTCTATGTAAAAAAAAAAGGTTCTCAAGCACAAGATTGTTGTATTCAAGGGAAATTTGAAATGATTATCAATAGCACTCGAATATTTTTGTGAGTTTTATTTCATATATATACGCATATAAGGGTGTCGGTGTGGGTGTGGGTGTGGGTCTGGATTTTCTTTTCTTCCCTACCCACACCCATACCCACACCCCACACCTCACACCACCCACACCCTCAAGATTTCATGTGGTTAAACAAGATTAGGTTACTGGATGTTTATAATGCGACTTGTTATATGGTTATACCGATGATGCCCGACGAAAACATCGGAAAAGACCAAAAATTCTATTTTTTTATGGACATTTGATGTTTTAAACAAAAATA